CCAAACACCTAATTTCCGATATCAACCTATACTGATATAGTGGGGCAGTGGTGCCCTGGGGGTTACGGAAGTTAAGGCCCACCCACTCACTAAAGTGATGGGTTAAAGCAGTGTTTCTCAATTATTTTCTGCCATGCCCCCCCAGGGGACAAAGGTTTTTTTTACACCCCCCCAAATTGATTACCATTAAGGGCCTAGTAATATTTACTTATTTATCTGTACAAACCACTGTATGAGTCGTTGGCGTCCGCATACAATCCCCCGATTAATAAAAGGAGCTGCAATGCTGCCATCTAGTGACTTTCACTTTCATATGCAGTCGTTTTTCCCCCAAAAATATTTTTAGGTCACACATCATTTGGCCAAACCCAGTCATCGCGTTATACAGAAGGATAAACAGGCTGTTTCTAGTCACACCTTAGGTCAAACTTTTCATCATTCGAGGAAAAAATTAGGTTAATATCAGGCCGATAATATAGGACGTGCGATAATAAACAAACAGAATGATATTTTTATTTCATTCCAGAGACCACTACCTGGAGGTGGGTCTCCAGCTGGAGCCGCTCGTCCTGTATGGACTGCAGGTCCTCCTTCTCGCCCACCTGCTCCTGGCCCCTCAGGCGCCCCTCCTTCAGCCTCTCCTGCTCCAGCTCCGACTTCTGCCTCTCCTGCTGGACTCCCTGCAGCTCCTGCTTGAGCTCCTTCACCTCTGCCAGCAGTCTCTTTTTGGTGGTCTTCAGTTCACTAATCAGCTGGTCTTTGGAGCTGGCGTCGCGGCGGTACGCTTCCACCATGATCTAGGAAGAACACACCAAACCAAGACGTTAAAGTGTGGATCTGGGAGGTTCTGGACACGACCTGAGAGGAGGCCCACGTGACGGAGAACGTTTTCCTCAGGTTCCTCGGAGTTAAAAAAACAAAAACTCCTGACTCCAACATGGGTTTAGTTTCGTCCAATCAGCAGCAGCGGCGGCAGAGATCCATTGTTGAAGTGATAGTGACAGTAAGCGTTAGCCGCTTACTGACAGGTTGTCAAAGACTCGACGACGCTCGTCATACAGACGACGCGTTGGCTATTGTTGTGAAATGACAGCCCATCTGGTCCAACTACACGCACTCCTACGGCGGCACCAGCGGATCTGGACTCAAACACCCCTCAGTTTCTGGAGAGAACGTCGGAGAACGTCTCACCTTCTGCTGTTGAAACTGTTCCTTCAACTTCTGCGTCTGTTTCTTCAGAACGTTGTTTTCCTGTTGAACAGCATCGATCTGCGATGGAACCAAAATAATTTTTTTTTTTTTAATTAGCGTTTATTATCGAAAAACAAGAAACTGACTTAAAAAAAACTAAGCTGTTCACTGATAGGCCGACTTTGACCTTGATGACCTTTAGATGTGTGCTAATACCAGCCCATCTTTTTTTAGTTTCTCTTGACCTTTGACCTAAGGTGTGACTAGAAACAGCCTGTTTATCCATCTGTATAAGGCAGTGGGGTGTCAAAAATACGGCCGGCGGGCTAAAACCGGCCCGCTAGGAGGTTCAATCTGGCCCGCCTAATGGGAAATGTTTCCGGTCTTTGTTCTCGTACCTGACCGACCTTGACCTGGACTCCCTGTCTGAGCTGATCCAAGACATCGGAAGACAGCAGGACGTCTTCTCCCAGCTGCTCGGTGCCCTCGTCCAGCTGCCTCTTGTTGGCCCGCGCCGCCTGCAGCGCCACCTCCAATACGATCTTCTCGTTCTGGAGGTACTGGATGCTATCGTCCTTGGCGCGGCCCTCGCCCCGCAGCTCCTCCAGCTGGCTCTCCAGCTCCAGGTAACGGGCCTCCAGCTGGTTGATGGACTGCTCTTTGGTCTGAAGGTTCTCCTGAGTGTTGGTCAGCTGACGCATCAGCTCCAGGTGCTCCCTCTGGAGCAACTGCAGCTGCGCCTCCTTCTGGGAGACGCTCAACTTGGCCTAGGAGAGAGACGGAGCGAGTCAAAAAAAACCAACAACATTCTGGTAGGTGGTGGTGGTTCGTCGGTACCTGCTCCAGCTCCCTCTCCATGGTGCTGGCTGCGGTGGTTAACTGGAGGAGGCGCTCTCGCTCCTCCTCGAACTCCTCCAGCTTGTGCTGCAGGTCCTCTTCCACCATGGACTTTGCGTCCTGGATCTGCTTGTAGGCTGCTTCCTGGGTTAGCATGTCGGCCTACGTCAAACGGTAAGAGAGTTAGAGATACGATACGTGTCACGATACGATATATTGCGATATATTGCGATACTACAGGCACGACGATATATTGTGTGACTTTAGTCCAAGTGGGATAACTTTTTTTCCGATATTCGATATCGTGATATGGTCCAAACACTTAATTTGTGATTCCGATTTCAACTGATACAATGCATAATATCGTCCGATAATATCGGTCGGCCGATACTATCGAACATCTCTACAAAAAAAAAATCCATACACTGATGACTGAGGATATTGATACAGTATCAGGAAAGGGAAATATCGCGATATGTTTGTGTATCAATATTTTAGTATTGAAAAGAGTGACCTCTGACCCCTTGGGAACATACGTACCTCAATGCCCTGCAGCTGAACAGCGATTCGTTCTTTTTCCTTGATGGAGCGGTGCTGTGTTTCTGTGAGCTGGTGCGACAGCGTGACGTTCTCCAGCTTCAGATGTTCCACAACGCCGATCTGCGTCATCTGTCCGGCCTGGAAACAAACAAAAAAAGACACGTTAAAATCGAGTGTCACAGACCGACGAATGAGGTCAGAGGTGGGACCAAGTCATTGCTTCGCAAGTCTCAAGTCAGAGTCAAGTCTCAAGTCAGGACGGGCAAAATCTGAGTCGAGTCCAAGTCAAGACCCAAGTGCTGCCGTTTCTGTTTCGAGTCCTTTTA